ATTCAGAAAATATTTCTTTGGAATTATATTAGGTTTGCTTTCTTAAATACAAGGGTTTTTTTTAAATTTAATTTAATTTTTTTAAACTTTATTTTTTTTGTGTGAGTGTACTGTCAAATCAGACCTGACTGGTATAGGAGGAGATTGTCCCTCCTTCCCCGGGAAAAGCATCTGGTGGATTTGAACCATGCGCCTCTGGGATTGTAGATGCAGCTTCTTGCCACTAGACCACTAGCGCTCCCCTAGGTTAGCTTTCTTGTAAACAGCTTTAGCAAAGAGTAAGTTCTCTTATTTTCTATTTACCCCTTTCTTCTACATTAAGGGAAATTGTCAAGATTTCAGATTATATCTTTAGCAACTTATTAAACAACTAACTTCATGATGATTACTGTTTTTTTAAAAAGGCTAGGAAAAAAACTGTTCCTTGAATTACTATTTGTGCTAGGAAATACTTAAAATAAAACTTAAATATCAATCATTAGAGGAGTGGGTAAATACAGTGTGAAAACAGAATGGGAGTTGGTTGGAATGAAAGAGATCTTATACATAGCAATATAGCTATTTCTCAGAACAAATGCTGAGCAAAACAAGTAAAATGGGCTCTCTGTGGTTATTCACAAATACTTTAAAAAGCCCCATAAAACAGTATTATTTATATATTTGGACAAAGATATATGTCCATCTACTGGAAAGATAACTAGTAGAAATGAATTACTCCTCAGAAGGCAGATAGAGAAATGAAATTGGTTCTAGGAAAGTGGGTAGACAGAGTTCAAAGAGACTATGTGTTTTAAAAAAGGCCTGGAAACAAGTATAATGAAATGATAACAGCTGTTAATTCTGGACGGTGTGAATATGAATATATTATATTCCTTTATACACTTCAACTTCTCAAGTTTTTGGCAAAAGATAGTAAAACAGCTTTATGGGTTTTCAATGGCTGGTCCTTTAAGAAACAGATCTCTTTCACAGAGGCTCTTGGTCAATCTGACCTGCCAACCTTTCTTTTAGTAGCCAAGAGCTTAACTGTCTGGACCACACATAGTGTCTAGAATGTAGATACTTGGTCAATAGAAATCTATCTCTACTGGAGGACTATAGTGCAATGACACCTAATGAGTTAAAAGTGCGAAGGGGGCAGTGGAAAGAAACCACAAAGGAAATCTGTATTTCCTTTAAAAAAAACCGTTAGTCTTTTTAGCATTTTAAAAAAACAGTGCTGGGATGATACATCATAGCACCTGTATGTTTTGGTATACAGACTACCTATTAAAAAACAACACTGTCAGATTACTTTTTTTACACTTCTTTATGGTGAATAAACGCTCTTGAAATCAATAAAAAAACAGAGAGACTAGAAAAATTTGGTCTATTCTCACAAACTTTCTGCTACTACTTGGAATAGTCATGGATTTTTTTAACCTCAATAAAAACTAATGCTGCAGAAAGAAATGCTCTGGACATTTTCAATACTACATACAGAAAAAAAAGTTGTTGTTATGTGCCGTCGAGTCGTTTTCGACTCATAGCGACCCTATGCACAACAGCCCTAA